TCCCATAATGATTCAAAATTCAGCAATACCAGTCCCATTAGGTTTTTTACTGACAATGATGTGGAGTTACAGCCTGGTAGTAAGCAAATTGTGCGGAAAATTCTAGCGGATGCAAAGTTCTGTGGAACTCCAGTGCAGTTCCTCATAGACTCTGGAGCTGTGAGGAACATGATCAGCATAGAGAGTTACCACACAATACCACCCTATCGACGACCCAGTCTGAAGCCTGCCTCTCGAGTATTTATACAAGCCGATGGCTCTCCTCTTTCCACATATGGTGAGATTTCTGGGGAAATAAATATTGACGGAAGAGCAACCTTGATTACCGCAGTGGTGGCAGATATTGCCCAGGCTGGTATTCTGGGGTCAGAATATATGTCTAACAGCGGAGCTGTAATCAACTTCAACAAGCTGGAGATGATTTTTGACGACCAGGAGGCACTGGAGCAATATCAGGTGCAAGATGAGCAGAACAGGCAGAGGCAGCCATCCTCAAACAGAGCCTCTTCACTTCTTCCTTTGCGAAGATCTCAGAGAAATGAGAGGAGAGTGACTTTTTCTGAGGTGAAAGAGCGGAACAAGAAGACCAAATATGATAAGAATGTTGATGCTGAGGATAGTGAGTTAGAAGAAGAGGATGCAGAATCTATTAAAGAACCTCAAGATATACCAGGGGAGCTAGACAGGGGACCAGACTGTACTAGGGGTGAAGCACCATACCCAGATGCCCCTCGGGTTTGTGAACTTGTGGCTGATGAACACATACCACCCTACTCAAGCAGGCTGTTAAAGGTCAACATTGGGTTTGCTCCCTCTGAAGAGCCAAGTCAGCTCCGGATCATTGAATCGGTGTTACCGGATGCACTCGCACCTGATGAAGTGGAAGTCGTTCCTGCCTTGATTGAAGCAAAAGGTGGGATTGCTCCTATAGAGTTGAGGAATTATTCAGCGTTACCAGTGGAGTTGGAGATGGGCACTATACTTGGAGTGTTTAGCTCTGTGGAAAATCTGGTATTCCACCTGGATGAGTCGCAAGAAGCAGTAAATCTTATCTCTTGGAGGAGAGAGCCAGTTGAAGGAGAGCTCAAGACAGAGGAGTTGAGGAATTGTCCCATCCTAGACTTACCAATGAATTGCGATCAAGCCTCGTTGATAGGGCCCAGCAACATACAAGACATGGGAGCCTCTCACATGGAGGAGCGAGCTGTCGGCCTGGACTCAGGAGCGCCACCAGTTGTGTCGACAGAGGAAACCGGAGTTATGGAAGAGCAGAAGCAGGATGCCCAGGAGGAGGGTCTCCAAAGCTTCCTCCTGGATTTGTTTGAGAGGAGCACAGAAGGGTTGAATGAGGAGGAGACCATTCAGGTAAAACAACTTCTGATGCAGAACTCTGATGTGTTTGCCTCAAGTGAAAAAGATTTGGGACAGACTTCTTGGGTGAAACATAAGATTCCCACAGGAGATGCAGAGCCTATCAAGGAGTCATATCGCCGTTTGGCTCCAGGGAGACAGATAGAAGTGGATGAGCAGGTGAAAGAGCTGATTGAGCGAGGAGTGATAGAGCCAAGTCAGAGTCCCTGGTCCTCACCAATAGTCCTTGTGAAAAAGAAAGATGGGAAATGGCGCTTCTGCATAGACTACAGGAAGCTGAATACTATCACTCACAAAGATGCTTTCCCAATACCAAATATTGCTGAGACCTTAGATCTGATGGGAGAGTGCTCTTACTTCTCTACCTTGGATCTTTGCTCGGAATATTGGCAGATATTGATGGATGAGCAAGATCGAGACAAAACAGCCTTTTCTGTGAGGGGAGGACAATATAGATGGGTTGTTATGCCTTTCGGCCTCACCGGAGCTCCAGCTACATTCTCCAGACTGATGGAAAGAGTACTGGTTGGGTTGACTCTGAAGACCTCATTAGTCTACTTAGATGACGTCATAACGTTTGCAAACAGTATCGATGTTGCTGTTCAACGACTACAAGAAATTTTTAACCGATTTAGAGCAGCGGGGTTAAAGTTGAAGCCATCCAAGTGTTCCCTGTTCCGTGGAGAAATGGAATTCCTCGGGCATGTGGTATCAAGAGAAGGTGTGTCACCAAACCCCCAGAAAGTGCAACAAATAGCAGAATATCCCACCCCAAAGTGTGTGAAGCATGTTCGTCAGATCGTAGGTGGTGTATCTTACTATAGAAGGCACATCAAGGATTTTGCTAGAATTGCCGGACCTTTACACGAACTGACTAAGAAGAATGTGACCTTCTATTGGGACCAAGCTTGCCAAGAGGCCCTGGATACTCTAAGAGAAGTTAATGAGCGCCCCAATACTTGGGTATCCTCGGACAGGATGTCCATATATTCTTGACACAGACGCGAGCAATGAAGCAATAGGAGCCGTCTTATCATAAATTCAGGAGGATGCTGAAAGAGTTCTGTACTATGCCAGTAAGAGGCTGAGTCGCCCAGAGAGGAACTACTGCGTAACACGTCGGGAGCTATTGGCAGTGGTGAATTACACAAAATACTTCAAACAGTTCCTATATGGGGTGCGGTTTACAATCCGGACAGACCACAGCTCCCTAAGATGGTTAGTGAACTTCAAGGAGCCCGAAGGGCAACTTGCAAGATTGATCCAAAGTCTCCAGGAATTTGATTTTGAGACAGAATACAGACCAGGCCCGAAGCATCAAAATGCTGACCTCATGTCACGCATTCCCTGCAAGCAGTGTAGTCATTGTGATGGGAGATGTGCACCTTCTGAAGTGGAGGAGGATTTAGAAGATGTGACCTTAGCAGTGACATTGAAGCCAGAATGGTCATTTGCTGAGATAGCCGCAGCTCAAAGAGAAGACCCCCACTTGTCTAAGCTGATATCGAGGTTGAGCCAAAGGGAAACGAAATCAGACTGGAGTAAAATCAGTTCAGAGTCAAGAGAAGAGAAGACATTATGGACCCAGTGGAACCGTCTTCAGATCCATGAGGAAGTGTTGTGCCAGATATGGGAAATGGAAGATGGAAGAGAAGCTACGTTGCAAGTGGTTGTTCCCCATGTTCTGCAGAGCCGGGTCCTTGAGCTGAGCCATGCCTTGGAGTAAAGCGCACTACAGAACGATGTCGAAGACGATTTTACTGGCCCAATTTAGCGGCAGATGTGAGAGCTGCTTGTAGAGCCCGTGAGGTGTGTGGTGCTAGAAAGAACCCCCCAAAGAAAAAGAAGAGTCCAATGCAGCAGTGGAGTACAGGAGCTCCAATGGAACGATGGGGAATCGATGTGATTGGTCCATTCCCAGAGACAAACCGGGGAAATAAGTTGCTCTTGGTGTGCTCGGATTACTTTACAAAGTGGCCAGAAGTCTTCCCCATTCCAAATCAACTAGCGACAACTGTAGCTACCAAGTTTGTCCATGAGGTTTGCTTCAGGTGGGGCATCCCAAAGGAAGTGCATTCTGATCAGGGGAGGAATTTCGAAGCAGATGTTCTCCAGGAGGTTGTGCATTGATGGGGATGGACAAGACTCGTACGACTCCTTTCCACCCCCAGTCTAATGGCCTCGTGGAAAGATTCAACCACACACTAGTAGACACCATGGTGAAATAACTAGCTCCGGAGTACAACCAAGAAGACTGGGATTTAAAAGTGCCACTGGCATTGATGGCTTACCGCTCATCGGTGCATCAATCCACGGGAGAAACCCCTAGTATGATGATGCCAGGAAGAGAATTCCAAACTCCTTTGGAGAGGTTGATCGATACACCTGAAGAGAAAGAGTTGGTGACAGACTATGCTCTGGGGCTTCGACAGAGAATTAAGGAAGTTCATGAGCAGGCGCGAGGATCCCTCAAACAAGCAGCTGATAGACGGAAATTACACTATGATCGGAACATCAACGAGAAAACATACAAGGTTGGAGATGCCATATGGGTGCAGAACAAACGCAGAACAGTAGGGAAGTCTCCAAAGTTGCAGCCCAGATGGTTAGGGCCCTTTCAGGTGGTGACCAAGCTCTCTCCTGTGGTGTACAGAGTGAGAGAAAAAGGGAACTGGGAAGCCGAGAGTAATCCATTTCAACCTAACCAAGAGGTATGAGAGCCCATTGCCTCAAAAATGGCCAGCCGTGAAGGATGTAGAGGTGGAGATCCCTTACAAACCGCTTCCACCATTTCCACTGGAAGATCTGGAACCAGATGAAGGAGTGAACAATGCACCGAGCAAAAGTCAAAGAAAGTCTCCTGGGGTTTCTGTTAAAAGGGGAGTGGAAGGGTTTGAACATGATAAAGGGAAAATTGGCACTGAACCATCTTTTATAGGTATCCCAAACAAAGAGGAGGACCAGAGAGAGCCAACAGAATCAACCACAAAGAAATGTCCTCTCGGCGTTGACACTAACCCATTTATTGCAGGTAACTCTAACAAAGTGGAGGTACATAAACAAAAGAGACAGAGGGAGACATCCAGGGGTAGCAGAACTCGTCGAGTATGACAGCGTCCAACAAAACTAAAAGACTTTGTGTGTTTGATTTTAGGTCTTAGTATGGCTAGGTCCCGATCCAGGGAGAGGGGGAGAAAGCGTTCTAGGCCCCACACACCAGAGAGGAGTCGGGACAGAAGTCCGCCACGAAAGAGGGATTACCATCATCAGAGCTCCTCCCACAACCAGGGTCATCCATCTCAGACTAGAGTTCCTCACACCACCAGGAGCATCCTCCGAGCTCATCTCACCACAAAGGCAATCCTACTCAGACCTCCTCTACCACCATGATCGTACTCCAAAGAGCTCATCTCACCACAAAGACAATCCTAGTCAGAGCTCACACCACAAGGATTACACCCCCAAGAACTACTCAGGTCTAAAGGATACTTATACACAAAACTCCTCTCACCACAAAGATAACACCCCAAAGAACATCCACATTCAGAGCTCTTCACACTTCAAGGACTATTCTTCCAACAGTACACCATCTCAGAGAGACACTCAGAATAAGAACTTTTCACACCAAAAGGACTGTTCATCGAGGGGTGTATCAAACAAAAAAGATCCCCCCCAAGGGCTTGGCTCAACAAAGGAAAACAAGCCCCATTTGTGCTCCTCCTGAGAAAGTGCCAAAAACAGGGAGCAAAAGCCAAAGAGATCAAGAGCCAAACACATCGGGACCAACTCTTAAACATTACGTTATACCAAAAGTGAACCAGTCCGCAAAAGATGACTATAAAGAACCAAAGTTAACCCCAACAGTAGGGTCCAAAAAAGCAATGGATGAAGACCCAAAGTGCAAGCAAGGTCACCAATGCCCCTATTGCCTGAAGTTATTCGCCAAGAAGTACAATTTTACTAGGCATTTGAAGGCCATACATCTCAGGGAAAATCTACCTCCATCTACTGCAACCCGGGAGAGTGAGTTGTCCACTGCTAGTAACTGGGAACAACAAGAACCAGTGATAGTACTCCAAGAGGCAGTCGAAGATAAAGTCCCACTCATCAGTGAAAGCTATGAGGCGGAGGAGCCTTATATAAGCGACCATGAAACTGGAAATGTTGATTCCGGGGATGGGGATTCGAAAACCAAAGAAGACGTAGAGCCAGGTCATCAATTGGAGGACTCCGATGAGGGGGAACTGAAGGTAAATGAAGATGCAGGACCATGCAGAACGAATCTGAAGATACCGAGGAGGAATACTCAAAGGGCAAGAAAGCTAGTCCAAAGACGAACCGAAGAGTGGTCCTGGTTAAAACAAGGGATATGGGAACCATGACCAACCCACCTCGGATGTCGAACCGCCGTCGATTTAGATTACCCAGGAAGTTCTACTTGAAAGTGAACCTGATCGACGTAGAGGGGACCTCTTCAAGTGATGAGTAAGACTATAAACTTTGAAAAGTGCTCAAAAGTTCTATGGACTATGAAGTTTTTAGTTGCAAACGTTGACTTTCTTGTTGGATTTGCTTGTTTTTAACAGTTACATAACGATGAAAGACTATTTATATAGTTTCGTAAATCTAATTTCAAGTTCATTATGTGAGGGCACATAATGCGTGGAAGGGGGGTATGTGGGAAATTTTTGATTCCTTATAGGGACTCCTCCTTTTACTTTTTTTTAATGACCTGCGCACTGGGATGCGCAGAAGTTCAAAAGTTGTAATTGCGATTCCAAACAATTCTGTTTGTTCAACGTCTACTGATTTCGTCAATTGTAAGTACAACCTGCCCTAATTTGTTCTTCTTGTAGTAATATTACGATAATTGAACAGTTAATCTTTAATTAGACGCTTTCCAATTGTAAATTGATCAAGTAGTTTCTTCATAGATCGTCATTAAAATTATCGGTAAAACTAGAAATTGCTGCGCAATTACTTTCAATCATTTTCGGCGCTAATTCAGTTCTCAAACTTTAATGTAGTGTCATTCATGTATCATATTACTTCGTATTCTGTTTACATGTTATTACAGTTATATCTTACATGCATAAATAACCAGGTTTAGTGCCAAATCCTTACCACTATTATCCATTGCGGGAGGGAGGGATTTTTTTTACATTATATCACATTGCTTAGTAATCTTCTTAAGTAGTTTATAGCGGGAGGGGGGGATTTTTTACATTATATCACATTGCGTAGTAATCTTTTTAAGTAGTTCAAAGCGGGAGGGGGGGAATTTTTACAGTGTCGCATTACGTAGTGATTTGATAAAGTAGTCCATTGCGGGAGGGGGACTCTCTGTGTTAATTGCCGCACTGCAGTGCCCCTGATTTCAAAATGTGTTCACCTGTGCCTGTGACTCATGCCATCACGTGGAAAAAACGAAGGTCGCAATCTTGAAGGAAGCAGCGTGAATGAAAGGTTGGGAGAAAATCCACAATTATCACTCTTTGGAGTAGCCATCAGGCAGTGATTCGGGATTAATTAAGAAGGATAAAGCGGGAAGACACACCAGGAAGTTTCTGAAGGAGAACCAAGAGAGGAAACCTGAATATTTGGGAACTTAGAGAAAGCAACATTTATTCGGGTGAGGTTTTTCCTTTTTGTTGATTTGATTTTATGGCCAGCATGCTACTAGATGCGGGAGGGGGACTCTCTGTGTTAATTGCCGCACTGCAGTGCCCCTGATTTCAAAATGTGTTCACCTGTGCCTGTGACTCATGCCATCACGTGGAAAAAACGAAGGTCGCCATCTTGAAGGAAGCAGCGTGAATGAAAGGTTGGGAGAAAATCCACAATTATCACTCTTTGGAGTAGCCATCAGGCAGTGATTCAGGATTAATTAAGAAGGATAAAGCGGGAAGACACACCAGGAAGTTTCTGAAGGAGAACCAAGAGAGGAAACCTGAATTTTTGGGAACTTAGAGAAAGCAACATTTATTCGGGTGAGGTTTTTCCTTTTTGTTGATTTGATTTTATGGCCAGCATGCTACTAGATGCCTCTGACTGACTGTAATTTTTAATTTCATGCGTACCAGAATTTGTAACTTCATGGCCAGCATGCCACTGAGATGCCTGACTGACTGTTAGTTTCTAATTCATCGGGTATTGAGATCTACCGTGTGTCGACATTTTGTGTCCCAGGCTTTCTTAAGTGAGATATTTGTCAGATTGAATGTATAGCAACACTGTGTCATTGATTGCCTTCGTGGGTCCCTGACGGAGTATGTTGGAATAGCTTCATATTTCAATTTCAAAGTGTTGTCAAGAATTTTTCAGAGCCCAGTTTTGTCCTTGAGGAAGCAGCAAGGAACAATCTGGAAGCAACCTTGCATTATAGTTAGTTCGGTTTCACCACTAGCTGTAAGGAGCAATTGAGAAACCTCCCAACGGGGCGAACTATTTTTGGTCAGTTCTGTTTCACCACTGACGATAAATAGTTCCAGGAAGACTTCTAGAGCAACGAGTAGCTAGGAGCCTTCCCAGTAAGAACAGGGGCTGAGCAAAGAGACAGTGAGAGCTATTTTTGTCAGTTCGGTTTCACCACTGACAGAGATAGTTCCAAGAAGACTTCCATCGCATCGAGCAGTGAGGAGACTTCCCAGAAATCTCAAGAGCCTGAGGAGCAAGGCTAAAGAGCCAGAATAGTCAAGTAAAGAGTCACGGCGAACTATTTTGTCAGTTCGGTCTCACCACTGACGATAGATAGTTCAAGGAAGACGTCTATAGCAACGAGCAGCTAGGAGTCTTCCCAGTATCAAGGAGCAGAGTAAAGGGCCACGGCGAACTATTTTTGTCAGTTCGGTTTCACCACTGACGATAGATAGTTCCAGGAAGACACCTATAGCAACGAGCAGCTAGGTGTCTTCCCAGTAAGAATGGAAGCTGAGCAAAGAGCCAAAGGAGCAAGCTCAAGAGCCAGAGGAGCCAGGGTAAAGAGCTGAACGAAGAGCCAGAGGAGCCACGTTCAGGAGCCAGAGGAGCCATGCTAAGGGCTAAAGAGCCAAAGAGCTGAACGAGGAGCCAAGTTCAGGAGCCAGAGGAGCCAAGCTCAAGAGCCAGAGGAGCCAGGCTAAAGAGCCAAAGGGCTGAACGAGGAGCCAGAGGAGCCAAGTTCAGGAGCTAAAGGAGCCAAGCTTAAGGGCTAGAGGAGCCAGGCTAAAGAGCCAAAGAGCTGAACGAGGAGCCAAGTTCAGGAGCCAGAGGAGCCAAGCTCAAGAGCCAGAGGAGCCAGGCTAAGGAGCCAGAGGAGCCAGGTTAAAGGGCTGAACATGAAACCAAGTTCAGGAGCTAAATGAGCCAAGCTTAAGGGCTAGAGGAGCCAGGCTAAAGAGCCAAAGAGCTGAACGAGGAGCCAAGTTCAGGAGCCAGAGGAGCCAAGCTCAAGAGCCAGAGGAGCCAAGTTCAGGAGCTAAAGGAGCCAAGCTTAAGGGCTAGAGGAGCAAGGCTAAAGAGCCAAAGAGCTGAACGAGGAGCCAAGTTCAGGAGCCAGAGGAGCCAAGCTCAAGAGCCAGAGGAGCCAGGCTGAAGAGCCAAAGAGCTGAACGAAGAGCCAGAGGAGCCAAGTTCAGGAGCTGAATGAGCCAAGCTTAAGGGCTAACGGAGCCAGGCTAAAGAGCCAAAGAGCTGAACGAGGAGCCAAGTTCAGGAGCCAGAGGAGCCAAGCTAAAGAGCCAAAGAGCTAAACAAAGAGCAAGAGGAACCAAGTTCAAGAGCCAGAGGAGCCAGGCTATAGAGCCCAGAGAGCCAAGCAAAGAGCTAACAACGCAGCAACGGCCAATATCAATCCTACAAAGAGAATTATAGTGACATTTTTAGTTGATGAACATTAAAGTGTGTCATTTCCTTGTATTAGTAGTTGTGTAGAAATATATGTATTAAACTTGAAGCCATTTGTGACTGTCGTTTTATCCAGTCCACCAAACCAGGACTGGGCCCACAAAGAAGTGTAAGGTAGAAAAGTTACTCATCGCTTCCAGACTATCAGCAAAAGTCTGGAACGCGACATTGGTGTCAGAAGTGGGATAAGTAAAACGATAGTACCGAGCACAAGATGGCAACATCAGACACAGATACAAGCCAAGTGATGGAGAGCAAGCTCCAAACAGACAAAGAAGCAGAATTAGAGGTAGATGGTGAAAAGACAGTGTTCTTCAAAGGACAACCAGGAGGTGATGACATGGTATTGGATGACACCATTCCTGTGGAAGATATGCCATCACCAAACAGGCCGAGGAGGGCCTTTCCGCTGCAAAGTACCGGATACTGGTCAGGAACAGAGCAGCGGGTGCTACCAAACTATGCGACTCCACCAAGAGGAGCCGATGGAATAAACCAGCCAAAAACTTCTACTGAGGAAGTTCGAGTCGGCCAGATGAGTGAAGAATTGTTCACACTGCAGAGGGAACTGGTGTCACAGCAGCTCCAAACAACTTTGCTGACGAGCAGTGTGAAAGAGCAGGGAGAATGTGTACATGAACTGAGGAGGGAGCAACAGATGTTAAGGGGAGACTTGAGCCAAGGCCTTGGCACGTTTCAAAAGGATCTCTCCCTTGGGCTGAGTTCAGTGCATGGAGCCCTGCAATCCATTGCCCAGACTATAGAGCAGTCAAGAACCCCCACCAGAGGAGATAAATAGGAAACATAGTCGGGGGAGCAGTGTTAACCCAATGGCCCAGGAGTGGCAGGTATACCAGGATCCCATCACAGATCACCAACTTAAGTCACATTCAAGATACAGAGGAATGAGTCCCCGTGAGTTTGGGCAAGCGCAGTTAGACGCTAACTTTCCTAGAGAAGACACACCAATGATGTTATAGCCAGTCCCCGGGGAGGTGGGAGGTTGGCTGCCTCCATATTTGGTTCATGATAGACGGGTAAAGCAGGAACAGGAAACTGCCTGTCAGCAAGATGACCTAGTACACTCCACTTGGGAGAAAAGGACCATGTATGGAGAGCCTCAACTGCCTCCTCCTGGAAGGAGATTTCAATCTCATCCGATGGAGGATAGGTCACATCTGGAAGGGGGGAGTAATTGCTCTGTAAAAGGAATGCAGAGAAATCCAGATCCCATGTTGTCATACGTTGAGTTTAGCAAAGAGTCGGGTGGTGCTGTGCCGAAACTTACTTCTTTGAGTAGAAGAGCAGAGAAAACAGCGGTGAAAGAAAGTCCTCAGCCAAGGTACAGACCTGAGTTGAAACAGGCCACAATGACGGCAAATCCACACCTGGAGATACCATCCCGCAGTTATGATAACAAGACAGCCCGAGTTACTCAAGAAGAGACAGCAACGGGAGCCACGGGGCAAGAACAAGACTGTGAGCCCGATGTGTCTCCTGATAAGAAGAGCAGGGATAAAGAAGCTTCAAATGCTCCTGATACCTCGGCGCTTGATTCTGTTCTGCAAATGGCTCAGAAAGCTATCGAAATTTGCAGAAAGGCAGTCGAATAGTCAAATACAGGGAGACATACAAGGATAAAGCCTACACAAACGTTCGATGGATCGAATCCCTGGCCAGATTACAAAGCATATTTTCAGACGTGTGTGACGAACAAAGAGA